ACAATTTAAAAAAAAAAAAATTTAGATGAAGTGGAACACTTAACGTAAGCAGACAAATCACTTAGTGGTTAAGGTTGTTTCACAGAGCAGAGGAGCAGGAAAGAAAGCTGCAGTTACACTACACACGCTCAAAACTACGCATAATTCTTATACATGACTGGGTACAAACATTCCCCCGCCATGTGGCAGGTAGCCCTATGAAATTTACTCACCAAACGGAAAAACTACCCGCAATTGGTGCAGGGTGGGTGTTCATTTCAGACCCTGCTGGCACTCTCCAAATTTCTCTTCCTTTTCAAAGAAATGGTTACGTTGGTGGACATTTCACCAAACCTCTGGCAGCAGGTGTTGTGTGCTGATGCTCTGATGTAGCTCAACAACATCAACACAGCTCTATAAGAGCCCCTCAATGTCACCCTGATCTTCAGGGTCACACCAACCTCAGTGTGAGATTATCATTTCATCATAATGAAAGCAATAGATATGATGTTTCTTTTAAAGTTGTCAGTCTGATCCACTGTGGTGCATTTTCATATAGTGGCCTAGTGTGGAAAAAAAGGCCAACAATCATGTCTATCTGTAAGAGGATTAGTTAGCCCTGACATCCGTTTACCAGATTTTCTGTTATGTATGCCTTCATTTGGGAATTAAGCTTTCCATGTATTCCTGTTTTGTCCAGTCAACTCAACCGTCACCTTCTTGGTCATATTTCTTTCTTTTGAAACCCTGTGACTATATGAGCTGTTTAACACAAAAGTAGTTGAAGAAATGATGCTGTTGATGACCTCAGATTTTCTACCTACTGCTTAGGTTTAAAGCCTCTGTAGGATCACAATCATCATCATTAATGTGTCTCCAAGACAACACAGCTCACACTTCAAATAAAGAGCTACAATCATACAATAAAAAACACAGACTTAATCAAGAAACACGATTTATACGTTATATTATTGGTTGGTGTGGACAGTCATTTCGAAACCCAAAAGTATCCAACATGACCCAAAGTTTTCATCACACATTTACTCTAATTGCTTAATCTTACAGCAGAAGTAAGTACAGATTTGTGCCTAAGATACTGTCGCATGTCTGAGCTTTGGAGAATTATTGTAAAAGTGAATCAGCTAGATTCCAGGAAAACTCTGACACTCTATATGGACACTGACCAGACAGCCCTGAGTCTTACTATAACCACTGTTTGCCTGGCAGCCATGAGAAAGCTAGACAGCAACGAGCATGAGCACTGCGAATTGATTGTAAGGAATGTTAGCTATTTTGCTTTTCTCTATATTTCATGTTATTTTACTGGTGGTTCTCTAATTCTTCTCTGTGTAATACTTTCCATATTAAGACAGAGTCAGAGGCAAAGACAGAGAAAATTAAGCATTTTGTTAGTGTATAACAATATATATCTATTTACGACACAATGCAAGGCCTGCTGTGTCTTAAGACCTGTCCGTAGGTCTGCTTACACATGGGGCATATGGATACGATTTACCGTATACCCATCGAAGAGTCACATTTTCCGTAGCATCGTACATTTCTGAATAATCACGGCTGTATGGGCTCTACATGTGTCTTCATGTATTATCCTAATAAGAATACTGAATGCAACAGCAACAATTTATTTTTTTACTTTCCAAACACGTGTGCAAGTCCCTGAGTTGCTTAGCAAAAGACCTTGGCCTGCTTAGATGTGATGAGCTATTTTCTTGCTGTAGTTAGTGTTGATGTAAACGGGTACTGGCTAAGTGGTTCATGAATGGGAAACATTTCTTGCTCGTTCCATGTTTTAGACAACAGTTATTTACGACAGATAGATGAAGTGAAGTGCACTGTTTTTCCCAGCAGGTATATTTTCACCAAAACCTCTCATGCACTTCATCTAGAAATAAAAGCCTGCTGACCACAGCACAAAAACCCACCTGCACAACTCATTCATTAACCATTACAAGGTGACTGAAAGTGCAACTGTGCATTTCCCCCTTTCTTCTTACATCACACACTTTAGCTTTCCATTCACAAGAATCAGATTTTTTTTCATTAATATAATATAAAATATTTTTGCATTATGTTCCTGAGTCTGACACAGCTTAGCGCCAAATGTTCTACTTTTGTCAATTATCTTCAATGCATTATCCCACTGCACCGGAACATCACCTGCATCCATATACCATGTAACTGAATTACATTTTATCACGTGTCGCAGACAGCAGCAAAGCGAGATTGATTTCACACCAACACATAATGAAATCAACACGCTTGTGTAGCTCGTTAGAAAATATAGCTGCAATGGGATCCAATTAAACAGATTTAGAGGATGTATTCAGATCTATCATATGAGTAAAACCCTATGAAATAGTCCAGAAAGGAAAGAAGACTATTTAAGTTTCTGCAAATCAACAATCCAAACCCAAAATTTATTTAAAATGAATATGTAATACTGTAAAATCAATATTTCTAGCCAATATACTCAGCAATGAATCCAACCTTCCAGCTGTACTTTTACACGGTCATGATGCTATCTGGGAATTGACTGCCAGGAACGGTTTCATTATCTTCTAAGGTTTTAAATGTCAACAAATCTGGACTACACTCTTGCCAATTGTTGTGTTTGATCCACATGCTGGACCTTAACATTATAAATGTATGTTGTTGTGTAACTGTCATGGTGCGTACAGATATCATGTAATGCATTTTTCTTTAATCAGATAGTGTGTCTGAGCAACAACACCGAGCCTGTGATGGATTAAAATCACCACTAAATCTAATGTGATTGACCTTATTTTTAAAGCACTTTTTGTGGACTCAACGGTCACAGCAGGATGTATGAAACTGTTATGCAACAGAAACACTGTGACTACAATAATTAATCTCTGATAAAAGGTGTGATTGTCAGTATTTGCATGGTAAATTAATAATTGGAGGTAAACCAGGAAGAGTGATGAGGAGAGAGCGAATGGGCCAAGTGCAGTGGGAGACATAAAGGGAAGGCAGAAGAGTGACTGTACTTGGTCTCATCTTGGCTATCACATTACCCTGGCCCTCATGATACACCAAGACACTGGCCTCTCTCTGTGGCCCCCATGGCTCTACCTCCACTCACTTACTCTTAAAGTGACAAGCCTCATCTTTGTACTAGAACTAACTGTGTAATAGCACCAGCATCCTCAAAGAACGTTTTTGGGAGATAGTTGGACATAAATGATGGTAGATTTGAGTTACCAGAGGAGGTAGGGGATGGAAATGTATCCTTATTATATACAAGGCATCATATGGAAACCAGCTTTAAAGAGGGTATATTGTTTGTAGTTGTTGTTGCTTGTGTTCTGAGCTATTTTAACTTTAAAGCAGGCTGTGTAATTTGTTACACAGTGTAAGCATCTTTTCAAGCTGTAGGCGGTATCTTAATTAATTTTAGTAAAAAAAAAATTCAACCTTTTTTCTACATTACATCCTGCTGCGTTATGCTCTAGTTATAAGCGTTTAGGTTGGCAACAGACAACAATTTCTTATAAGTAGTATGATAGCATGGGAAATATTATTAATACCAATTTAATGTGATTACAATATGCATTGATTTTGCACTGCCAGCACACCACTTCCTTAGCAATTATCTAAAGTGGTAAGACTTCAAAAAGCATGAAAATGCAAGTGCTGCATATTTGTGAATAAGCCATTTGAAAAGACTTCACACAAAGCTTTAATGTGTTTCATAGGCTCTCAAAATCAGTGATGTGCATTAACCGGTTTGGCTGGCTATGCCATTTGGAGAGGGTCAGGTGCCTGGAGCCAGGAAACAATGCTCTCCACTCTGTTTGTGTTGTGATGCTTTGTTATGGTTTTGTTCTGCTCTGTTTGTCCTCTCAGTCATTTGAAGACTGGACTTCACTCATTCAGCTCTGAGAAATGCTTTCTCTCTGTCTATGTGACAGGTCTGTAAAGTTACACCAGAAAAACTAGGCCACAGTATGATTTCACAATTGTTACTCAGCCAAAGAATTCAGCCTGCTCCAATGTGCATCTATGTATCACAGAATCGAACAAGCTTTAACTGTGAAGATGTGGGTTTGCTTCAATTTTCTTACATTCAAAAGAGACAGTACTTCATGTCCCCAAACTTGTCAGAATGCAGTATATGTTTTAAGAAAGCTGTGTTGGTCTCAGAGAAAGACTAGAAGGAAACCAAATATTAACAGAAATATTTTTTTTTACTCTTTTTCTGATCAGTTTAGATTTTTAAGGATTAAGCCCTAGATGTCAGGGTATGTCAAAGGGGCTTTACAGCATTATGATAGAGGATGGTCAGAGGCTCTGTGTCTTAGTGTTAATAGTAGAAGATGGCACTAGTCACAAGGAATCACATGAATTGGGTTATTCTGCTTCAGTTTCCTTTCAAAAGGTAGAGTTTTTTTTTTTGTTCTGTCTCTATGCGTATGTTCGACCTTGATTGTGTATATAATCAGTGTATGTGTTTGCTTTGCTGAATGGGTGGGTGTGGTCTGCTGAGATCTACTTTGGCTCAGAGAGTATAGTAACACAGGATTGCAGACATAGATAGTAGGGGTGTGTTACTGTTAGGAGCAGAAATCTGTATCAGTAGTGTACACAGAATAAGGCTGGTATAGTAATGGTTGACTGGTAAGAGTGCAGGTTGCATGGATGGTGATCCTTTAAGTAACAATTAGTTATTCCATTTAATACATTACTATACATTGTATGGCCACTTTTATCAAGGTGATATTCCAGAATGAATATGAATATAATTCCTTCTCATCTGTGCTATCAGATTTAGATGATAACTAGCCTTAAAACTTGAAGCAGCTCCAAGCAGCAACCCACGCTCCCTCCAAGTATTAAATTGAAATTAATTTATTTTGCAAAAAAGGAAGAAATAAAGTGTAAATGAAGGTAAAATATCAAAGGAGTGAAAAGAGTACACCATACGTCTATGAAGTCCTAACTTTATATCACTTTTTAAATTGGTTTATATTTGGACTTACCTTGAGCTCCACTTTCAAACTGTAAAAAACACTAACCAGCAGCTCTAAATCTTCCCGACACATCTTGGTTGGTTAATCTGTTGAAACAATAGAAATGTGTCTTTTCTTTTCAACTGTTATTCACATGTTTTTTTGTTTTTTTTTGTGTGTTATTACAGATCAAGAGACCTTCAGTTGCCAGGGAGATATCACACCACAGAAGAAAGAGATATATTTTAAAAGATCAGGCAAAACACACCAAATAAAGACTCAAGGTGGACGAGTTGCAGAAGCTGTACAAGGGCAACACACCACAAGAGCCATGTGGGAGGAGAGTGAGGGGGTTTTGCTGATCGTACGCAACAAGCCCGAACGATTTCTCTACTGACATACACTGACGATTCCCAGAGCTGCTCCAGATCCTTCCTCAGGGGAGCCCCTGCTATGAACCCCAGCTCCCTTGGCTTCAGCAGGCAGTCAAACCTCAGTGCCAGGCGCTGTGTGGGCGTCCCACAAGTCTGGGTTCTGCCCACACAGGACTTAGACCGCTCCTAAACGCAGAGAATGAAATCCTCCTGAGTCACTCCTCTGCGAAGTGGCTTTCCTGTTTCCTGTTACACCGGTCTGTTGTGAAGCTTTATCTGCTGCTCCCCAGCAAGTTTCTACCTTTACGGAGGACCCTTTGCAACTCCTCCAACAATTCCTTTTCGATCACCACTTCATTATAATTTGCTTTCCCATCAAGCAGCAGCACGAGTTCCTTTGTGCTCACCACGTGGTGGAGGACCATGGGATGCCGTCAGAGCTCGGAGGAGAAGGAAGCGGCTCGGCGCTCGCGGCGAATTGACCGCCACTTGCGCTCGGAGAGTCAACGGCAGCGGCGCGAAATCAAGCTCTTGTTGCTGGGCACCAGCAACTCAGGCAAGAGCACCATTGTCAAGCAGATGAAGATCATCCATAGTGGAGGTTTCAACCTGGAGGCGTGCAAGGAGTACAAGCCCCTAATCCTGTACAATGCCATCGACTCACTCACCCGCATCATTCGCGCCCTCACCACCCTCAAGATCGAATTTCACAATCCTGATCGCGCCTATGATGCTGTGCAGCTTTTTGCCCTCACAGGGCCGGCTGAGAGCAAGGGGGAGATCACTCCAGAGTTGCTGGGGGTCATGAAACGTCTGTGGGCCGACTCAGGGGTCCAGGAGTGCTTTCAACGATCCAATGAGTACCACTTAGAGGACAACACTGCCTACTATCTGAATGATCTGGACCGCATCTCTGCGTCTGAGTACATCCCCACTGTAGAGGACATCCTTCGATCCCGTGATATGACCACTGGCATTGTGGAGAACAAGTTCACCTTCAAGGAGCTCACCTTCAAGATGGTGGATGTGGGTGGACAGCGCTCAGAGAGAAAGAAGTGGATCCACTGCTTTGAGGGCGTGACTGCAATCATTTTCTGTGTCGAGCTAAGTGGCTATGACCTCAAACTCTACGAGGACAACCAGACGGTATGAAAAACCTATTTTATAGACCCACATATCACTCAGAAAATATATGCATTTACACACATATGGAAAAGTCATGCTCGCATACAACCATTGAAATTACAGAAGCAATCTGAGGAGGCACGGGGGAGATGTCAATGAAGTTAGTGTTGAGATTTTACACTACGCATGAAGAAAGGAGCAACCATTATTTCCCACCATTAATTTTGTTTTGTAGATTGGGATCCATATGGGTACAGAATGATGATTTACTGCTGGGGTGCATTAATAAATTAAGACATATTAACTTTTTTGATTAACTGGGTCAGTTGTTTTTCATGTGGTGAATTAAGGTAAAATGCAGTGACTATCAAGATCAAACACATCATAGTTGCATAGAAAAGTTTGAACAGCTCAGTTAAGTGAACAGAACACAGGCCTTTTCTGCTGTTTTGCCATTACCTCTCTGTACATCCCTGTCTATAAAATAACAACTGTGCTGTAACTATTTCTATTTCAGTTTTAAAATCTCCACAAGGCATTGAGGATCAATGTACGGACCCATTCATCCTCCTTAATAATAATACTACATACTTGAAAGACTACAGTTCATTCATTTTTGTCAGGTTGATATAAACATTTTTTGAAAGCCGTATCCCAATGTTATGATCGTTATCCTAAGTTTTTTGGCTGCAGGCATAATGGACTGATTTTGTAAAAATGGCATGAAATGCATTCAGTCTGCCTTAATGTGGTAGTGTAGCTATTTTAAATCTGTCTGAATCAAGAGAGTGGCCGGGGTTTGTCATATCGTCTTCATGGTTGTGGAATTTCAACGATTTGCTCTCAATAGCATCCCCATCCTGTTATCTGAGTGTTTTGGAATGGATGAGTAGTTATTGCTTGTTTAACTGCCTTTTTGATAAAGTAAGGTCAACAATAGATAATTTTCTACGTTGAGTCTAGACTTACTAGGAAGGGTCAGCTTTTTCCTGTTTCTTTTACTGGAATCACCACATTCTTTCCTACTGGGTTTAAAGTATCCATGATGGCTTCCTCCTCTGTATATAGGTCTTAACAAGAAATATCTTGTGCACAAAGGAAACTTTGTCATTCCGGTTACTGAGTTGGCCTGAGAATTCATGGGTTTCCCGGATAAAAACAGGGTGTTCACTGTGCCAGGTTAGAACATGAAATCAATTAGTTCTATAGGTTAAAAATAAAGTGTAAGGAGAAGAAAGCAGTTTGGTGTTAATTGAGTTCACAGAATGAAGTGTGAGGCTGTACCTGTGAGAATTAGCAGATTGTGAAGGCACCGTGTAGCAATGGGAGTTTGCAGGTGCTAGAAAAAAAACAACTTTTATTATTAAGAGAGAAAAAAGAAAGCTACACATCTTGAAAATAGAGCTGCCATGCTTCTGAAAAGCCTGCTGCAAGGAATAACATTTCTGCTAAATCTAACATTCGACTGGATGGTTTGTGGTGGAAAAATCCATTTCCATACACTTTGGATGTGTATTAAAGCATCAAGCCATGTAGACATTATTACTGGACAAGATTTTCTGTAGCCAGAATGTGACGTGCTGCCTCATCTGATACAAGAGAAACTCTAAGCTCAGTATAACCTGAAATTTCACACAGCCTCATCAGACATCAACTGAATGGACCTACCTGTACAGAACATCTTGTACATTTTACATTCAGATGTATTTTAGATAGTCACTGCTTTTTATGTTGCTGCTCCTGCTGAAATGTTGTGCTCAGCACCCATTCTAAGAGTTACTCTTCGTTATGATAACTTGTGCATAGCCTTGTGCATCTTGCTTAATATCAGCCACTGACAAACTAGAATCTCAGATGCTAAAGTTGCACAGTAACATAGCCTTCAGCTAATGAACTTTAGGTTTTTTGTTTAGGTACCAGTCTCTCTCCACTTTGAATTGTTAGAAGAGCTCCATTTAAGTCACTAATGTGGGAGTTAAAACTCTTAAAAGGTGAAAATCCTGCACACCACTCTTCTTCAGCATCATAATTTATTAGAAAAAAAACTGTCACTGTCAGAAAAGAAACAACCTTACGCTGAAAATATAAACCCATGATGATGGGTGCTGTACTAGCACCCAGAGCACATAGTGAAAGCTGGCCATACAGCAGGCCACACCCTCATAAATCTAAATGACTGATAGGCAGAAGTTCTTATTGTAACATTCACTGTGCATATAACCTCATAGTTAGAGGATTGATGTTGGTATGTTGCAGTATCTCCTCCAACATCTACAGAAGGAAATCTTTACAGTGAATTCCTGCATCTTGGAGCCGTCTGTTTTCATAACCACAGTCAGCTGACACAATGCTGCTGAACAGCTGTTACCTAACCCGCAGTCTAGCTTCTTTATGTTCAATACATGTGTAATATGAGAAAGAGAAAATATGTAACCATAGACACATCTGTAATCTATGTGTCTCTTGTTACATATTAACATCACATTACAGCTAATGGAAAATATGAACAGAAGGGAAGTCAGATTTGGTTTCTGCTAGGTTGGGTTAAGAATAGGTTACGATTAAGGTTAGGCACTCCATAGAATGAAGGTCAGTGCAATTTGATGGTGAATAACTGGGTCATTAAGATGACCCTGACAAGCGAGAAAAACCTCACTGACAAGCTGCTGAAAAAAATAATCTAACCACAATCTAACGGAGATATAGCAACAGCAAATAAACAAACAAAATATTATCCCTGTGATAAAAAAAACTATACATAACACATACGGATAAAATACAGAACCTACAATGTATAAAGCAGCTTTAACAGTTTTTCACTATTGCATTAACCTCTTTCTCCAAAATTGTCCTCCACTGTTGTGCGCAAAGAGCAAACCTGACTCCTGTGGTGGAGCTCTTCTTGTCGCTCTTCTAAAAATTTGAAGTGGAGAGAGACTGGAACCTTAACATGCAAACGTTCCATAAGTTACTTTCAATATGCTTGTATTGGAAAATATATATACATAATATAATCACTGATGTAGAGAGCCAAAGTAGACTAACACAAAAACCATAACGCCAACAGTTTTTATTAATACATTTCAGTATCGATTTATCATCAGTGTGGTTTATAGTTTAAATAAATGTTACAGAGATATAAGAAGCCCATTAGCCCAGAGTGCACAGAGACATGGTCGCTGTTTCACACATTCTTCACACATCACTTGCACCTATTGATTGTGTAAATGAGTAAAGTGTGGAAACTAAGTCTAAATCTCTCACACAATAATTATATATCCCCATAATCGGTCATATTGCAGACAGTATTCCAGGATAAAACTTTTTTTTTTTATTTAAATCCAACCATGTTAATCAGACTTTGCATGATTGTATTTCCTATCATAAAAAAACATTATTTGTTGTCCTGCTGAGTCAACAGTTTTTTTCTTGTTTTGTTTGACTGATCTGCTAATGTTTAAGCTCTTAATTTTCTCTGAAAAAAACCAGATGATAATCAACGTCGGCAAATCAATGTAAGGAAATATCCTGTTAGCTTGTAAGCAGCCTGTTAGCAAAGCTAGCATATTGTCATATAGTCTTTCCGAAATCCACCTCAAAAGTTGAAATTTTGTAACATGTTTGTAACAACGTAAGCAAATGATGCACAATTTATGGAGCTATTAGCGTCTGCAACCCATTCTTAATGAATCAGTCCCTGTGTGAAGTATTTTGCAAATAGGGTGAGGCTGAAAATGTGTCATGACTCATCAGTTTTAGTTCAAGTGTTACTGTGATTGGTCTTTTTTTTTATCGTTTACATCACAAACACAGACATTTTTTGAACAAAAAGAGCATTATGCTCACTGGATGTTTGAATAGCAGTTCCATGAATGTGTTTCATGTTTTATAAAACAACACAATAGGAGTTATTATGAGAATGGAAAGTTGAAAAATTCAGGCAGTCATACAAATGCTTTTAAGAATCTTAAGATGGTCTGTTTAAGTGGTTGTATACATAATGAAAACCTTTACAGTTTCTGTTGCTTTGTAGGTCCTCATTAGAAGAAAAGAAGAGTTGTTTTTTATGATGGCAGTGATTAGCTTAGTAATCTAAACAACCAACAGAAAAAAACTTTATCAGAGCAGATAACCACAGCTCAGTTTCAACTCTCTCAACGCTCATACAGGATCAAAAATATGCCAGAATAATTACAGTACAACATTTACCCATCAACCCATTCCCTGATGCATTTTTCCCTGTCCCATCCCTGTCTTCATAATGAATCGGTTCCCATGGTTACTGTTGCTTAGCAACAGGCCGGTCAAACGCTCCTAATCCTGTGCTGTTGACAGTGAGCTGTGACTAGGGAAGAGAGGATGAGAAGGGGAGGGGGGAAGGGAAAGGGGGGGGGGGGAGTTGTACAACAAACAACAGCGCTGGAGAGAGAGAATAGATGAGGTGTATACATGCATGCATGCATTGTGTGCCTGCACGAGTGTGTGTGGGTGCATCATTACGAATATGCATTACTACAGGTTTATATGTAATGGCTGAGTCTGAGCAGTGGATCCAGTGTGTATGTGAGGGGAGAAAGAAAGCCAAGATGTGATATAGTACTTGTTTAAGCTTAACATTTAGGCAGAGCCTGATGGCAGAGCTAGCTCTGTTTCTAGAGACTATTGCCTGTCACATGAAAGAAATCTGGAAATGAATAACCTGTTATCCATGTTTTGATGTCAAAGTTTGTAATGTTCACTTTTCATGTTAAGCCCCAGCAAAGAGGACCTACACAATTATCTGAATGTAAAACCACAGCTTTGAATCTTCAGAAACAAAGTGGCAGGTGTCAGCACTGAGTCTCAAATGTATTCAGGAGTATTCTCCGTCACTCAGCTGCAGCATTTTAACCACCTAATGGGTTATCAAAGGCTTTACTATCATGTAATTGAACCGCTTCATATGATATAATTGTGTTTTGAAAAAGAGCTCCCCAGGAAATGGAATAAGATAGTTGAAATACACAGTGAAAAAATGATGTCAATATTGTCTTTACCCAGCTGCTCATGTACGTTTGGATCTCATTCTATGTAGCTATTCCATTACTCAACTATAATGGCAAATGGTTATTTATTGTAAGCTTTCCAGATTTAATTTGTCTCAAATGTTATTACAATAATCTATTGTGACCTCCACTCTATGGTTAGTGCTGCACACAGCTTTCCTTGTTACATCATCCGGGTCATCATTGTAGTATGGGCTGATTAGATGCAGGAACTGTAAATGAATTTTTCTATATCATTCTCAATTCCATTAGAAAAATATGATCAATATAAATCAAAATTGGCACTTGTTTAAATATGGTTAGCTTGTTTTGCAGAGACTGGAGCAAAATAATATAATTATGTATAATTTGAATGTGTTTGTTTGTTGTTAAATCCATACCCCGCAGAAACAGAGACACTAGTAATTAAAGTGAAACAGAAAAGGAGCTGGCTAAAAATGGCCCTTTTCAGGTAGAGAAGACAAAACATGATGACAGAGAAAATGATCTGGGTAGATAAGTCATTAGGAGCCCTTCTTGTCAGGCAGTGACATTAAAAAAGTTCTGCACTCTTTTTTTTTTTTTTATGGGAAACAAAGGTATGACTGGGTTGAACTTCTTGATTAATAATCAAGATTAATTAAGGCCATTGCCTTTGGACTACTCCAACAGGAGGCAGCCAGATGTAAAGCAGTGTTACAGGGTAGGTATATGTGAATCAGTGGGTGTTTACTGCTCTGAATGGTGCTCTCCTCCACCACCCCCCACCCGATCCCCATTAAGAAACTCCTACCGTACGAGCACTGTAGTGGCCAGGTGAAGACTCCCTGAGCTCAGCTGGCTGTCTTCTGTCACTCTCTCGAAACAGCTGGGCTCTTATTGTGACACCCTGGAAAGAGGAGGATGGAGGTCAAACAGCATGACATGACTCTGTTTACTGTTCAGTGTTCAGGGGCCAGTCTTAGTCCCAGAGGACACATACTTATAAAGAGAGGACTAAACAAAATATGTGAGAATGGAAGCACATTGGAAGATATTTGTAAAAAGGAAAAGCAACCCCAACACCCTCTTATGTCATTTGTAATAAGCAGAAGCTCTGTTTTAGTTCCAATAATGGGTATTGTTAGTTGAATAAACAATTAGCTCATTTATTAGTATGACAATAGGTGTGTACGATTTATTTTCCAGTACCCAGTTGCTATTTTGCTGTGCTTGTGACTCAAATATATTTTTAGTTAGTAGACCAAAATAAACAATTGGTTTGCCTGTGTTACAAATGAGCAGAGTCTAAAGCTAAAGCTAGCTGGCTATGCATGTGCTGGCTGAATGTACTCTATAACTCATAAAGTTTTTACATTTTTTTTAGGGTGGATGCTTTCAAAAACTAGCATACTTCTCTTTGTATAAAATATATCAGATTTTCCTACCCGAAGTTTTAAAGCCCTTTTTTTTAAAGTTAAAACATTTACATTTGTCAATGGTTTGTATTAAGTTGTATGGAGGCTGCTCTTCTGGACAAAAATCTTAATGTCTTTGACCGCATGTCAATTTCATGGTATAAAAAAAAATGGGACTACCTCAGGGTAACATGCTTGTTTAATTCAAGGTGGACTTGTCATTTTCCTAGAATAGTGCCCTTACTAAATTATCAGGGTTTACTTCAAAGCGGCACTACAAAAGTCTAATCCTTGGCTATTCCCCTCAATACCTTTCTTCATGCTGAGCAGATCTTGTGATTTGCTCAGAGCATCATGATGTTTCTGTAACCTTTTAAACAGCAGCCTTCGTTCTACCAGCCTTCCAGTCACAAGCTGCTGGCCAGTGGCCACATGCCGCCAGCTGCCATAAACAGATCCACTTTTTTTCATGTCTTTATCCTTATACATTCAACGTCACATGGGCACAAACTGTACGACATTCCTGAACACACACACACACACACACACACACACACAAACACACTCAGTTGCACAGGCTCAAATTTTCCTCTACAAAAAGCAAAATGCTTTAACATTCTACAAATTAAATTAATCAAGAGTTACATGACATTAAAAAGCATATGGAGGTTGGAGATGTAAATGGTCTGACAATGATGTTCCTCGTGATCCAGTATAACTACCTGTTTTTGTATCATATGAATGTATATAAATGTGTCTTACCTTGCCCTATGTATGTGCTGCGTAGAGTAGACATTAATGATTACCATTACAAAGTTGTGGAATGAATCTGTGATTTGCTCCACAGGGTAGGTGGGTGGGCTCTGGTGGGGTTTATCAGATTTATTACTGTCCTTGTTTTTCTGAAACTTGGTGAAAGAGAGCCTTATGTGGGTGTGGAGTAAGGACAGAAGGACTAATGACATTTTGGACCGTGTATGAAAATAACTCAGGAACTAGCAGTTCTATTGACTAAATTGAAACACGGATGTCTAAATTATAGCACAAATGTAAGGAGGAGAGAGCGGGAGGTGACATGTCAGAATGGGTGAGGTAGGATTCCAACCCACTGAGATGGGGACTACAGCCTCTGTACACAGGGCGCATAACAAAACCACTAGGCCCAGTAACAATTGTTTTTTAAAGTTCTCATATTTGTGATATGTTATTAAAGTCCAAGCATTAAAGATTTGATTTACAACAACTTTCTTAGCGTTTTACAAATGTACAGTACGTCTGTGATGTATTGACAATTTAGAAATAGACAATCAAATGCACAGCTTTGATAATAAAACGTCTTTTGACATGTTTCTGCTAGGTTTGGAAATATCTTTAAGTATATCCTTTGAATGCCCTGCTAGTTTTCACCTCTTTCTCCAACCGAATATGGGACAAAAATATGGGACACATAATGTGGACCAATTGGCAACAAATGTTAACAATGACCTCTATTGTAATTTATTGGAAAGCAGAAGGCTGGAAAGAAAATGAAAGATCACAAAACCAAATAACTTATGGTGTGTGGACAGGTCTCAGTGGTGAGTCTTGGATGAGTAGTTTTAAGCGTGTGGGGCTGAGTGGAAACCAGTCGTTGCCCCTGTTTTGACATTATCCATTCAAATGTACATATAGTCCCACTCACAAAAGCAGGTGATTTTGTAATGGGGTAAATTAAGACCGACACACATCTATTTGAACTGGTCCTTTCACAGTTTGGACTTGTAGAAAGAGAGAGGTGATAAAAAAAGTAGTCAGTGTTTTAATGGAGTTCAAACTCAGGGCCCTCATCTTTCTGAGGCTGAAGTCTGTTGCCATAACAAAGACAGCGTACCTTTGGTCAGTGAACTGGATATACTGTATGAGACTTGTGCTGGATGACTTAAGACTTTAGATTTCTCTTATGTTGCCTTCATTTTCATTCATAAATCTTGCACCACCCTCAAATAGTAATTATTTCTCTTTTTTTGCCTAGTCACACAATCCTCTCCAGTGAATGAGGTCTGATTGGGCCAATATGGGCTGTTGCTTCAAAATAAAGTGTACATTTTTCTGCATGGTCTGACTTTGAATTTGAATTTTCCTCTCTTTCCACATCCACACAGAGCCGTATGGCCGAGAGCTTGCGTCTGTTTGACTCCATCTGCAACAACAACTGGTTCACCAACACATCGCTTATTCTCTTCCTCAACAAGAAGGACCTGTTGGCGGAGAAGATCAAACGCATTCCTCTGACAGTGTGCTTCCCTGACTACAAAGGGCAGAACACCTATGAGGAGGCAGCTGTGTATGTCCAGCGGCAGTTTGAGGACCTCAACCGCAACAAGGAGACCAAGGAAATCTATTCGCACTTCACCTGTGCCACCGACACCAGCAACATCCAGTTTGTGTTCGACGCTGTCACGGACGTGATCATCCAGAACAATCTCAAGTACATTGGGCTGTGCTAGGACCTGAGGCTGGGTGGGGGGGTGGTATGGGGAAAGTGGGCAAGGGTGGGTAAGGCAGCAGCAGTCCCAGCCATCAGGCTGTATAAACAAAAAGGCATGTCAGTCTGCCTGGTGGTTTATCACTTTGAAGAGGTGCAACAGAGAACTGCAGAGCGAGTGAGGTAGTGCGACGGCCGGGGATGGACAATACTGTAGATTACATTGTTTCAATAGAAACAACAGAGCAGATGGGCCATGGTCAACATGGGATTTTTGCCCAATGTGTTTGCACTGAATTTGAGTATGCAGAGACACCCAAACACACAAACACACACCTACACACACACACCTACACACACATCTTTATGTTTGCTCACATACTAGGTCTTTGGATCAACAGTCAAGCACTTGTGTGACAAGGCAACACTGGAATAGTAGACAGCTACCCCTACCTGCCTGCCAAACCTGAGGGCATAGGCCTGTACTGGTGGTTTTCTGTTATGTTTGTCTACTTTATTTGATTTGCCAGAGTCAATTAATGCTGCTTTACAAGAAGAATTTTGACAGAATCAATGTTCTCTTTTCGGATTTTCACCTTAACAATGGTAACCAAGTGAGCGCGCCTGTTAAAACAAGGAGAGAGCCTGTATTTCTGAGGAGGAAAAAAAAGTAAGAAGACATGATGTCACAGGGTTTCTGCCTAAAAAGAGGAAACTGCCACAGTGTAAAGCTGATGTGAAATACATTTTCTACACACTATTTCTGTTTTTGCCCCTCCCCCAAGTCGACTCTAATATTGTTCTTTTTCCCTTCTTTACTTTATCTTTTTGTGCTTTAAAAAAAGAATACGTCTCTCAAACCTGCATTTTATAGCAGGTCACTGACTTCTAATACCCGGAGAGTGTTGTGCTCCTTAAATATGAAAGTATTCTTTATGATCATTCCAGTTTCCACCAAGAGACGACAAAAAACAGTGCCAAGATCAATTTGTAAATAACACCAGATCCCATCCTTCATGTTATTTTTTTTTTTGTTTGTTTTTATGGACAAATACGTTAAAACATGCATGATTTTGTTACTTTGGGATACTAATATATATTTTCTTTGGGATTATGTTCCTCTTTTCTTAGGTTTAAATAATATATTCCCAAAAATATATATAAAGTCAAACACTGTGTACGAGTGTACAGTTGTCAGAGAGGAATCTATTGAAAAGAGTTCTATCAATATAATAATGATGATTATAATGTTGTGAAAAAGATGAGGATTTTGATGATGATGATGGTGATGATGATTACAATGACGACGAGAAAAATCTCACTACAAAGTTAGCATGAGAGGAAAAAGTGGATCAAAGGAGAACAAGACTGTAGAATAAAAAAAATATGAAAACAAAGAAGCAAACATTGAAAGTTCAATCTTCCTTGCATTATCTACGTTGAAATTGTCAAACAGCCAGTCAGTATGATGTGTAAATATACTGTAAGGTACACTCTTTGTTCAAACAATGAAAATAAAGGTTGAGTTGGGATGCTGTAAGTGAGATAAGGAGAGAGCGAGAGAGAGAGAGAGAGAGAGAGAGAGAGAGAGAGAGAGAGAGAAGGAGGAAACACCCCACTCCGCTCCTCCTCTTACCCTTTCTTTTTCAGTTCAGAGCGTGATGTGCAAACAACTCAGCTAAGGGCTTCAGGCTTACATTACGGGATGTCCACCTCAACAAAATACAAAACAATTAAAAAAAAGAAATATAAAAAGGACAATAACTATGAATAAAACAACTTATGCAAATTTTTCATGGTGTAGTAAATGTGTTCTTGGGTGTTGGTTGTGTAAAAAATGCTTTAAATGTGATTTTATGTCGCATCATTACGACCTGGATTACAACGCTCTATTTGAAAGTCCCTGCTTCCATCATCAGTGCCAAAAATCATGACATAAAAAGTGTTTGTCCTCGTCATACAATGTAGCCACTGGGGCAAGAATAATTTGTGCATAAAGTACAAAACTGAATGAAAGAACTTGGCCTGTGTGACGTACAGATTCCACCTCAGTGAACACCAGTTGGCCAAACGTGTCTTTAGAAAAACAGTTTGATTTTATTCCATGTGTTTCTTATGAAGTGAAGTTTAAAACAGCACTTTACATGTTCAATGAAAGATAGTGAGGCAACAATCACAATTGCTGTGATGACCTGGAACATGACGATGTTTCTACAGGAGGCCAGGCTGTTACCTTCGACACTCAAGTGGTTTAAGTTTTCATGCTGATCAGGGGCCAGTTTCTGAAAGAAGGTTCAACAAACTCTTAGTCTAACCCTGAGCTCTGTGTTGATTTAACCTCAGGTGGAAAACTCTGAGTTTTCGATTCCAGATCAGCTGACTTGTTAAACAAACTCTGAGTAGGTTCACTCTGTGTTCAGCACGTGCACCACAACGATAACAAGCCAACATTAATAGAGCCCAGATACTATGATTCACCATGGCAACGGGTGACAAAAAAAAAGAGATCCGCGTACTTTAACCATCTCGACATATATCAATATCTTCAAGTGGCCATAATCTACGGCGAATATGAACAGGTTTTAAGAAGGAAAAAAAAGTAGCACTGCTGCAGCGCAGCGGCTAATTCCCTGAGGAGTAATGCAGCCCCTTCATCTCGAGGCTCGACTAAAAGACATGCCATGTTTGATGAACTAGTTAGTTTTATACGCTGTAGTATTGCCTGCCTAACATATCATATTAAAACAACCTGGATTTTTATTTGGACGAATGCTGAATCTTCACTAACACGCGCGTGATAAGGACTGAATGAGAGAATGAGGAAATGAAACGGCGTTTCTAGCTCTGAAACAGGGAGGGGACCAAGAGAACTCAGGGTTCACTGAAGAAAACCTGCTCCTGACCAGGTTAGGTTCACAGACTCAGTTACCATAGTAACTGACTCTCTGGAATGGGCTGGAGTTACCCCTCTTTCTCGAGTTTGAGTGACCTCCCCTTCTGAAACGGAATATCCAGAGTTTCCCTCATTTCAGGGTTAACTGACTCAGTGTTTGCACAAAACCTGCTCTCTGAAACAGGCCCCAGGCTTTCATTCAGTCTAGGGAGCATACATAAAAGTTATGGTGCAGTAATCTTTGGCTGGTTTATCAAAGTGATTTCTATTCATTTTATGTATCACATTTTGGGCCAAAATTATATCACTTAGTGGACAAATGTTTTCAGGGCATGAGGGAGGTATTCTTTTGTGGATTGATTAAAACAACAGGGGGAATTTGTTCGAGGAATGAACATAAATAAATCCACTGCCAAGAAGAGAAAGAAAACATGCCTTGTGACTGTCATGTGATGGGAGTTGGTGCCATCCCTTAAAATGACTTCAGTAACAGAAAGGGAGGGAAGCTGCTGAAGAATGTCAAAGGGGGTATGGAGATGTTCTCTATCCATTTGTTCAATCAAACCAGGTCTTCATTGGAAAAGGGTGAGCCGTTGAATCTCGGGTTTGTTCAGGATTGTTTGGACATAATGTAAAGCCAAGCTGCTGATGGTGAATTTACTAACCAGAAACAAAGGCATCAGTTGTGGGAAATCTAGTGACTCAAAGTGAAATTATTCGTTTTAAACCAAAATGGTAATACTAAACATTAGAAGAAAAAAATGTAATTGTTTGGAAAATGCTGTCTCTGCTGTAGGTAGGGTTCATTCCTAGCCTATACTAGCCTTGGCCTTGAAAGGTAACGGCCCAACCAAGTAAAATATTAAATATTGTCACACATTAAAAAGTAACAATAGTTTATTTTTTCAACTCCAATACATCTGTATTTATTATTAGTATTTTGTTTTGATGCATTATAGAAATGCAATTTTTATTTAAATTTGTTTAACTGGACTTACTAACCTGCAGCAAACATGGTCAGATACTTTAAATCTAAAAATGTGTATCCGTATAATGTTTTTCTGGATATTTGCTACATTATAACCCGATTCACAATGTCTGAACATGTCACAATTTCAAACGATCAATGAGCAACAGCAAGGAAAGAAAGCAGAGCCGCACTGCAGGGACCATAGATGTATATTAGCTTGATTGCTAACTCTGGCCAAACAGCTGTTGTGCATGGGCCAAACCCAGTCAAAATAAATCTATAAAATGAAATAATTTTGAAAAATCAGTTCTTTGAAAAGACAAAACAAAAGCCACAAAACTGAGATGTGATGGGAAACTGTAAAGATTGAGGTCAAATAGGGATATTAAACAAGATGAACAAATGATGATGTTGTCATACTAGATCAACGCAATGTGTCCTTTATCCTAAAGCCAGGGTTCACCAGGGTCTTCCAAGTGTTAAGTATCAGTCAATCAGGATGAAATGTTCTATACTGAATGTTCTGTCTTTTATCTTCATCCACATTCATTATTCAGAAATGTCTCTTTCCTTTTTACATTTTGGAAACGTCAAAAGAGCTTTGTCCAAAAATGTAAGATTTAAGCTGGCACCGTACCAGAATCACATTTTTCATCAGCATTGAAACATCCAATCTCTAATAAGGAAAAAAGGCTGAGGACATTTCACAAACGACCATGGGCACAAATAGATATTTATTTTAATGTCCCAATGATGACAGTTCTGAAACAATAAATATCCATAATCCCTGGCATGTTCCACAGCCCTGCCTATCTCTAAACCTCCTGAATCATTTAGATATTTTTTTCACAGAAAGAAAAAAAGTGAAAAGAGGAAGGCCCTTGCCATGAGCCTCTCTTGAACCTATTCATGTTGTTGACCAGCACTTAATTCCCTCTCTGCTACCCTCTATTCAATCTCTTCTGAACTGTTTTTCCTCAAACCACTTCGCTTGGTATGTTGTATGATTTTTCTGTTTCCTTCTGTCCTTAGTTATCATATCTTGACCCCCTCCAGATGACTCCATCTTGTTTTCCTTTGTGACCCCAACGTTCAAACCTGCCCTTTTATCCCCTTTGGACCTTCTACCCTTTTTCTCTAAGCTTGCCGATTTACTCCCACCTGCTCCATGGCTGTAAACCACCTGGTGAATTTTATGGACAAGCCTTTGGGCAGCTAGGAGGAGATATTTTTAGTCCTGCCATCTTAGAAGACTTTTAGTATTTCATATTTTCTCTCTGACTATTTGCTGCAAATGTAATCCTTGTAGACTCCACAGAAGCTCATCAGTATCCTGTCCTCCCATCTCATCACCACTCCTCTCTTCTGTCTTCACTTCACACAAAGAGTAATGACAGCTGAGGCTCATCTTCCAGGCTAACTCTCTGTTCACTCTCTTCTCCTTTGACCCCCTCTAACATGAGCTTACTATCTCTGTGAGCTAATACTAAATGAAGTCCTAAAAATTTCCTTTGAGTGTTTTTAATGTCTGCCCTCCCAAAAAACTCTTCCTTCTCCCCATCCCGTATCGTTCCCTGCTGATCTGATCTGAATTACTTCCTGAATTATATTACTGACCCTTCCCTGACATCTGGCAGTGAACCATTCGTCTTTAAGTCAGTTACAGCCACTGCCCTGATCACAAAACACAGTCTAGACCTATCTGACATCCATCAGAGACTGCAGTAAAGCATTTATTTGGCATTCCTTGGTCGTAGCTGCATATCCGAACACTGGACTATCTAATGCAGCCATTATCCCATGACGGACTCAAACATAAAATATTGTACATTTTAAATCTGCTTTTTTTCTTCAGAAAAATGTAATTTCTAAAGACGAGGGACAAAATCAATGGCTTTTCAAAGGAAGGTATGAAAGTCTGTTCTTAAAAGGACATTTCAATTCAAGTCAATGTATTAAATCGAGTTGAGGAGAAAAACTAAAGAGTAAATTATTTTTTTGGAAGCCATTTGCTAAAATTTTAAGTTTAAAAAAACAGACAAGAATAAAACCAAGACAACATTTCTCAGAAAACGACAACACTTACATTCTACAGCAAAGTCAGTGACTTATTCAGTTTGTATGCACATTTTTTATTTACCTAAATGCTAAAATAAGCACGCTAACATGCTTAAATTAACATGCTAACATTATGATGCTAAAAGAGTGATGTCACGTTTACTAAATGTATAATCTTAATATATAAACTTAACCGTGCTTAACAAAATGAACAGCTAAGGGTCATGCTAATTAGAGTTTTTCTGATACCAATACTAGGGGCCAACATTTTCTAAACCTCAAATATGGTATTAGGTGTTGGCACGTAGCTAGTCAATACATCTGTCCCATAACTTAATGAGTAGATCTTATTAAACAATGGTTTTCTGGTAAAGTATTGAGTGGGCGATAAAAAAGGTAGGTATAAGAATCAGTATAGATGTCTCTAATGCTAATGTTTGTACTGGCAACAAAACAGAAGACTAAACTAATAACAAAGATTGACAATGTGTTGCAGATGCTGCAAACCAACAGTTAAAACAATTTCACTCAAGAACTACGATTTGAAGAAAAATCAAACAGTAACAAAGAAATGAAAGAGTAACATTGGAAAACCATGAGTGCTGTATACT